TCCCCAGGAATGTGATTGAGCCTCCCGCCCTGGTAGGAATGTCCCGGACAGCCCCCCATGGGTATAACCAGGTGTGCTGGGGTAACAGCTACACACTGTCTTCCGGGGAGCCCAGGTCATTTTAGAGCCGGGGAGAAGCATGGTATACAGAAGAACCTGGCATACAGCTGAAGTCTGGGTTACTTGTGTGACCTTGAAAAAGTCCCTTCAGTTCTCCACTCCTTGGTGTTTTCATCAGTAACATGGAGACCTTTTGACCTCGGATGGGAGATGAGGATTTGAGGCAAAGTGTGTGGAAGGGCTATTCTATGATCTGGTCCATAATCAGGACTTAATAAATATTAGGTAAAAGTATTATTACTAAATGGTTTTAAGAAGCACTTATTAAGCACCTCTTGCACACTCAGAGCATCAAGTAGGTTACGGGGGTCACACAGTATAAGTGTTCTTATGCCATGAATTCTGTAGCCTGGGAGTTGAATGAAGCAAAAGGTCATCTGAGATGGGTGTGAGTGCCCAGCCTGGCTCCAGGCTTACAAGAGGCCCCTCTCTCGTAGTGGAGCACATCATCTCCTGCTGCAAGTTGAGTGGTGACTTTTATAGTATGACAAGAGGGATTGGCACCAAGTAATGAGACTGTATTGATTTATTTATTTAGTCTTTTTGAGACAGAATCTTGCTATATAGGTCAGGCTTGTGTTGAAGTCACTATGTAGCGTAGGCTGGCCTTAAATTCATGGAGATCCTCCTACCTCAGCCTCCTGAGTGCTGCGGTTACAAATGGGTGCCACTACATCAGGCTCTGAAATGGTATTGAAAACCCTGGCACCTCAGGTCCTTTATCCCCATCACAGAGACGGGCTGGAGGCTCATGTGTGTTCCTAAAGCTACCCAAGTAGGGCATGCATCGTGCCATGAATAGAGTCAAGTCACCTATCTGCATGGAGGCCTCTTACTAGCAGTCTGGGGCTCAGATTTTGAAAAACAAGTTTCTTTTATTATAAAAGTAGTTTATTCTCATTGTTGAAAATTTGAGGAGAGAAGAAAAACAATACTAAGAAAAGTACCCACTGTAACACAGGATATTTGATATATTTTCTGTCTTTCAGCATGAAATAATGTTTTCAAAAATGTAAGCTGAATACTCCGGGAGGCTGAGGCAGGAAGATCACAAGTTCAAGCCAAGTTTGGGCAACTTAGAAAGACCCTGTCCCAAAATAAAACGTAAAAAAGCCTGGGGGTGCAACTCAGTCTAAATGTTCTGGGTTCAATTGCTAGTACCAAAAAAAAAAATTTGGTAATATAGCACAAGTGCAGTTTAGGGTCAGAATTTTTCTCTTAGTGTTATACCACCAACCTTTCTTAATACCTTCACTTATTCTCTATAGCAGTGTCTTTTTGCAGACTGCATAGTGTTCCATCACAGAATGGTTTCAAACTGAATAAGCCACTGGAATATTCTTGAGCCTTTAGGAATAAATGGCTTTAAAAAGACAACTGTCACCAGTTGGGACATAGTACCTATGCACCCTTGAGTGTTGAAGATTATTATTCTGTTGTTGAAAAGTTCAAAGTCATAGAGGAGACATTGACCGGTTGACCACAAGACTCCCTCCTAGCTCCCAGGGCCTCTTTTTGATCCTCAGCTGGCAGGGAGCTGGGACACAGGGGTGTGGTGGGCACCTGCCACTGGTATCTGGCAGCTAATTAGCCAGCCCTGTGTCGCTGCTGTCACCCATATCAATTTCAAGCTTCACTGGAGTTGAAGCAGCAGCAAAGAAAAGATGGTAATTCAACATTTTAACAAACAGCAGACATTTCTGGTCCAGCTCGACTTCTTTGACAGTTTTCCAGCTATACAAACATGGGTGATGGTTTATTTTTTTATTGACATGATGGTGAATGCGGGAAATCTGCAGTCTCTGGAGTGCCATGGATCCAGAGCAGAGACAGCATGGTCTCCCCATGGGCCAGATGGTCCCCGGAGGTCATCCTGGCCCAAACCAAGAAACCTTTTAGTGGAAAGTCTTCAAGTCTTAGGACAAGTGGGAGAGGCTTAAAGGAGAAAAGATAGCATCTGGCCTCTTTCCCTTCCCCTCTTCCTCCAAAAATCATGGAAATAGATTTGGATTCTGATTTCTGCCAAAAGAAATAAATTAGAGGTTGCAACAGACAGCTGATCCCAAACCCTTCCTGGGGTAGGCGTGATGCTCCCCAGATGCCTTCGGATCCCTTTGAGGAGAACGCCATCTTCCTCTGGCTGGGAAACACCGTGAGCTGTCCCCAGGGAGGGTCGAGTGTCTCTGAGCTCAAGGCCTGCTGTCTCGAGCCCAGCTAGGTACTGGGGTGAGGCAGTAGCCGGGCAGCAAGCGGTGCTTCTAAAAACTGGAGCCTTCTTGAGGGCTGGGACTGCGATCCCTTTGGTCCAGAGACAGCCCTATACGAGTGCGCTCAGTAACGAGTGCAGACTGCTCTGCCCTGAACTGTAGAGCAGGGAAGAGCCTAAGGAAAACTGGCTTATGCTTAAACCATACCCCTCCGGTGCTAGGGGTGGAGCCCAGGTCTGCAGCTTGCTAGACAAGTGCTTATAACTACTGACCCCCACCCTGCCCCCACCCTAGGCCATCTGGAGCCCTTTGCCCGTTGCCGAGCACCCCATACTGTGTAGAAAGTCGGAGTTTGTGTGAAATCTAGAGCAAAAGCTTCTAGTGAAAGGAGCCCTCTGTGTATCCTATGGCGTCGAGCATACTGTTGGGTATCCAATAGGTGCTCAAGAAATGAGAAGCAGTTGAAATTGTGAAAGAGTGAGTGAATGAACGAGTTACTTCATTAGTTCTTCCTTATGTCCCCAGTGCTAGCTTGTGCCTGGCACAGAGTGGTCTTCAGTAACCGTATCAAAGAAGTGAATGGTGAGATTGATAGAAACCAGGAGGGCTGCTTTCATTCTGCCTCAGCCCACAGAGGGTGGCTGGGAACGTGGACCCGGCAGCCGTCCTCTTACTCCAGCGATGCCCTGTTGGACACCATCCCTTACCCGCAGATCTCCGTCATCCCTCACCACCTCTGAGTGCCTTCTCTCACCCAACTGCAGGGCCGTTTCTCTCTGAGCTGCCCCAGCTACACTAGAGGTCTCACTTGGTAATCATACTCTATCTTTGAAATACCTTGTCTTTTAAAATTTTTTTATTGATACATGATATTCATACATCTTTATGGACTATGGTATGATAATTCCATATGGGGGGCTGGGGATTTAGCTCAGCGGCACAGCGCCTGCCTGGCAAGTGCGACATCGTGAGTTCGATTCCCAGTACCGGAAAAAAAAAACCAAAAAAAAAAAAAAATTCCATACGGTATAGACTGAGTAATGATCACAGCAGGGTAATAAACATTTCTGTCTTCTCAAACATTATGCAGTTCTATGTGTTGGGAACCTTTTTACTCTTCTAGGTTATTTTGATATACATATTATTCTAAACATAGTCACTCCATTGTGCTATGGAAAACTAGAAACTAATTCTTGCCCTGGACCAGATCTAACCATGCTTTGTTATAAGCAGTCAAGTCTGTTTAAGGATACGGCATGCGTTTCTCATCTGTTTCCCTGTGAAGAGGCGGCCCAGGGCCTGTGGGCAATGCTCCTGGCTGGGGCTCAGAGGCCTGGGCTTTGAACTTTGGCACAAGCTACTCACCCCTCTGAGCCTCCACCTATAGTGATTATAATGTTGGGATAGAGGCAAGGGCTGCTGTGAGGATATGCAAGAACAAATATATGAAACCACTTTATAAACTTAAGGTTTATTGCCGAAACTGCACACTCTCTGATCATCAGCTCCCTTGAGGACAGGGGCTATTTCTGAGGTGGTGCCAGGACCATCTAAGACCTCAGGACTGAGCACAAGAATCACACAGCAAGGCCTTGGAGGTGCTGCCTGTATCTTTCTGCCACCTCTGCTCAGGTCTGTGTTCCTGCCTTCCTTTGGGACTGTGAGCCAGCTCTGTCTCTGGACTTCCAGTGCCGTGCCCCAAGGCCCAATCGGATGCTGTGCTTTGCAGACAGTGTGAAATGAACAGTAACGGTAACCAGTGCAGCCTAGCTAGGTGCTGTCGTAGGCACTTTCTGTGTCCTAGCTCTCTTGATTTCCGGAATGGCCCCATGAGGTTGATACTAGTATTAGCCCATCCAACACGGGAGGCCACTGGGTGCAGGGGGTAGAGTGACGGGCCTGAGGTCACACAGCTCCAAGTAGGTGTGTGAGGTTTTGAACACAGCAGACTGGCTGAGAGCTCAAGCTCCTGCAGAGCACAGGACATGATCTCTGAGCCACCCCAGGTGAGACTGCTGTGACAGGCCATGCAGCTGCCCCTCCACTCCTATCAGAAAGGCCCCCAAGGCCTTCACTTGCCCAGGACCCCTCTCTGCTCCTTGCGTCTCTTCTTCCCCAGCAGCTTCTCTGCTGCTCTTGCCTCTCTCCTGCCCTTAGCGTATGCCAGGAGTTACCACTGTCTGCCAGGACATTCTAATTCATTCCTAAAAGAACTCTGCATTGTCAGAGATGGAAGGGACTTGGAAATCCTCTGCTTCTGGTTTGTTAAGAGAAAACAGAGACCTGAGCTGGCATAATACGGATGTTCAAAGCAAATAATAGTAGCATAAAAAAGAATTATGTTCTCATGACTTATGAGCACGGAGGCAAAAATTCTAAATAACACATCAGCAAACGGAATCGAGCCAGGTATAACACATATAATACATCATACCCAGGCAGGGTTCATCCCGAAAATGCAAGAATGATCTAACCCTCGAAAACAGAGGCTCTGAGGTGGCAGCTCGGGAGACAGAGCTGGCCCAGGCACAGTCCCGGGCTCTTCTGGCTAAGTCTGTGCTCTGCCCTGCTCCCAGGAGGGGCTGGGGACAGTCCTTCCTCTGTCCCCGCTCAGATGGAAGTGATATGCTCCTTTCCTGGCCTTCCCTAATTCGTTTTCCATTTCTTCTGCAGGATTCCATGTTTTCGTTGGCCCTGAAATGCCTTATCAGTCTATCCACCATCATCCTGCTGGGTTTGATTATCGCCTATCACACACGTGAAGTCCAGGTAGGTGTCCTCCCTCCCCTCAGGCAGTAGCCATTATTTTGGCCTTGCTCTGGGTTGACTGTCCCGCCTCTCCTCCAAGCAGCAACTTGGGTGATTTTTACAAGATGCTACCCAAGATCTTGGTTCTCCTCTTCTGGTCTGGAACCTACTGGGGAGGGCATTGCAAGGCATTATCTTTATCTGAGGGTCCAGGCAGCAGACACATGGCTTCAGGAGTGGGGGCTGTCCTGCTCCACACCCTCACTTAGCACTATGGGCTGTGGGAGCTTGGTGACTTTGCCCTTTCAATACCATGCTGGACCTTTGCTGACCTTCAGGCGCCATCAGACCCTGCAGTGAGGCAGACCTGCCACAAGCTTCCCCTGTACACACACGCACATGCATGCATGCATGCTTCACTGAACACCAGCAGGAACCCATGTGTGGGCTCCATCCCCGTGCACACCAGGCTGGGACGTGCCATTTTCCGGATGGGGCGGAAGTCTGATGTGGTAGAGGAGGCCTCTGTTCTTGCTGCAAGAGTGACTTGGTACCCAGGGAAGTACGGGCCAGGCCCCTGGGTGCATTTCCCGTTTGGCTGATAGGGGCAAATGGTTTGACTTGGCCTGGGAGGGTCAGCCAGGAGTGGGCAATCCAGAGGTGTCCCCCTATGCCGGTGAGCCTCTTACCTGGCCCTGCAGCTGATTTTGTCTACTGTGGACCCAGTAGCCTAAAGTATCCAGATGTTTTTCCTCATGAGCTTGTGAATCTGGAACCCATCCCTGTCCTTTGGCTGGAGGAACATAGATAGATTTACATCTGCGCAGTAGGCAAGAGGTTGATGAAGACCAGAACTCAGATGCAGCAAAGTTCGGGTTGGTCTTGGCCGTGACCTCTTCTCTCTGTATGTCTTTGGGCAGCCTTGTGACCTTGCTGGGTCTCGCTGTCCTCATCCGGAATATGGGAGCTTTATTTCAGCTTTGCTGGGCTGCCGTGAGGATGGAATGAGGAGCATGTGGGACAGTGCTCTGTGCCACTATTCAACAGAACTGTGCAAGTCCAGACTCTTAACTCACTCCACAGCCAGAGCTGGGTGAGACCTCACAATCCTCCTGCCTTAGCCTCCCAAGTGCTAGGATTATTGGCGTGTGCCACCATGCCCAGCCAAATCCAGGCCCTTTAGTTCCTCAGTGTCTTGAGGGTAAAGCAGTGGCGCTGATACTGTATGGACCCTTCTGGTCCTAAAGAGGATTTCTTGCCAAAGATCAGGCTGTGACAGCTGGACAGGATGTAGAGGCTTTGAGGCTGGGTCACCTTGGCAGGCTCCAGTCTGTGATGACCAGAGGACACTAATCCAGATGCTCAACTCTTTGGCCTTTGGAACCATGGGTGCTTGGATCAAGGCTGTACTCAGAGGGCTGGAAGTCTAGATGCTGCCAGGCAGCTTGCTTCCTGGAGCCTGAACTGGACAGAGCTGGTGGACTTTAACCCAGACCATTGTCCAGGGGCCCCAGCCAGGAGCCAGAGTAGAGATAGGGAGAACAGGCCAAGGAATCAGGATAAGACAGATGTCGCCAGTCTAGGCTCTAGTGGGGTCTCCCTCCTCCCCCCAGAACCAGCTGGGGGATCCAGGTGGTCCTTCAACCTCTGGTGTCCTCATCTGTAGGGGGTCTGTGTTACTATGTCATCCTGACCTATGCAGGAAGTTGTCATAGTGGCCAAAGAGAGAATGGAAAGTGATAATATTCAGCTCCACCCAGGCAGAAGGGAGGCCCCAGTTCCCTGCCTTGGCTCTACGCTGAGCCCTCCGGGGCTTCAGGACTTCCTCTTTCTCCTCCAGGCCTGGGAGGGACAGAGCCAGGTCTCCCTGCCACTCATCCTCCTGGGGTGCTTGTTCTGCTGCAGGGCCTGCAGCCCTCAGACCTGACTCAGCCAGGCTGCACTGTGGCCTCAGCTCTGGCCTGGAACTGGGCACCTTTGTTCCACCCTCTGCTCAGGGCCAGGCCCTGTTTCAGCCCTCCCCGCAGGCAGCAGACCATGCCCTCTAGGTCATTTATCTCAGCCCAGCACTCACAATTTGAATTCTGACTCAAGGCACTTTAGCCGGAAAGACGCTGGTCCCATAACAACTTCTCTGGGCCTCAGATTCCTGACTTGAGGAATGGGAGTCATATCACCTACTTTGGTGGAACTCCCCAGGGCAGTGGGAACAGTGTGGAGCACAGTGGGATTTCATGAAGTGGAAATTTTGGTCTCTTTCCAATCACCTCTTCTTCTAGCTGGGCCTTACCACGTGCCACTTGGGCCAAATGGTCACTGTCACAACTTCCCAGGCCTGGCAAGCAGTTGGCTTCCTCCCTGCTCTGTCTGGCCCTGTCTAAACTCCCAGCTCCTGTGACCCAATCCCCTACCCTTTCTGTACCTGCCATCATGTGAGGACAGTCTTCAGCCCCTGGGCCACCACCTTCCTGTCACGTTCTCTCCGCAGCTGGTGGCCTTCTCCTGTGGGGGGCAATGGGACCAGATGGCAGCGGGAGGAGGCCTTGCTCCTGGTATGCACCGCACTGGCCAGATTGTAGTTTTCAGTGTCTCTCCCCACTGCCTCGGGACGATAATGTCATTAATCTTTGCATTTCCAAGACCCACAGTGTCTGACAAGGAGCAGATGTTTAGAGCACATTTTTGAATGAAAGGGTGTTGGATTCAAGACATCTGCTTGGGGTTGGGGGTGTGCTCAGTGGTAGAATATTTGTCTAGAGTGTGTGAGGCCTGGGATTTGACCTTCAGCACTGCAAAATGCACAGACAGAACAGACAGGCAGACATCTGGTTTCTAAAGCTGGTTATGTTATCAGTTTGTTTGTGGTCCTGGGCCTCAGTTTCCTTATCTGTTAGATAGGGTTCTTAGGCCTCCTGGCTCAGGTGTGGTGGCTCAGCAGCTGGAGGCCTATTTCCTGAGCGTGGTGGGAGACGCTATCCCAAGTGTGACCCACAGCTGCGGAGCTGCAGTGTTGGAAACACTGCCCTCAGGAGAGGCCCACCGCTGCTGCTGCTGCTGCTGCTGGGAGGTGGGGTGGGGGTGGACGTGGCTGTCCCATCTCTTGGGGGTGATGTTGGGGGCTTTTGTTAAGATTATGTTCACTACCTCTCCCATCCATAGTAGTTGTTGGTCATTTGGCTAAATTTTAGTAGGAACCAGATGACCGCTCCCTATCCTTCTCTGTCCCTGCCCCAGATGATCATTGGCAGCCCCAGGCCCTGGCATAGAGCACCCTTGAGGTAATACAAGTGCAGTGTGTGTGTGTGTGTGTGTGTGTGTGTGTGTGTGTGTGCATTCCCTTCTAGACCAGAGCTCCTATTTGTTAGTTGAGATAACGTGTTCTGGAGGAAGGAGAATTCTAGAATACTGTTCGATAGCTCTCAACCACACTGTGGCTCAGAGCTACAGAGCTGGAAGGTTTTCAGAGGTGACTTGTTACGTTCCCCCACTGCCTGAGTCAGCCTGTGCTGCTGTAATGCAATACCCTAGACTGGGTAAACTATAAAGAATAGAAATTTGTTTTTCACAGTTCTAGAGGCTGGGAAGTCCAAGATCAAGGTGCCAGTAGGTTTAGTTGTCTAGAGAGGGCTGCTGTCTGCTTCCAAGATGGCTCCTTCAAAGAGGAAGGCTGTGCTCTCCAGGAGACTGAATGCTTGTGACACCTCTTTCATGAGACCCTCAGTCCCATTCACAGGGGAGGAGGCCTCATGACTAGTCACTTCCTCAAGGCTCTGCCTATTTACCCTATCCCATTGGCAACACTTAAATCTTGGAGAGGGCATGCTCCGAACCACACCCACCCTGGGTAAGCCTGTGTTCGGCTCCTTGTGTACTGCGTGACAGGACGTGGACTGCCTCTTGCACAGGCTCTTCCGCTAGTGGGTAGCAGGAGTCCTTAGAAAGTCTACCTTTTGGCTTGAGGGGAAACGGCACCCTGGAACTCTCCCCCTGTTCTGGTTCTGCCTCTGGAGCAGGGAAAGAAAGTGCCTATGGTCACTGCCGTTGTTTGAAGGTGGTCACCTTATCTGTTATGGTTTATGCCTAGATGTTCCCCTAAAGCCTCACGTGACCATGGCTGGGACCGTGGGAAGGTGACTGGTTATGGGCCATTGTACTGACCTGTTGTTAGCAGGTGGGGCCTGGTTGGAAGAGACTCTGGGTGTAAACTGGAAGGTTACATCTCCCTTCCCGGCTCCGCCTTGCCTCTCTCTGCTTCCTGTCAGCCATGCCATGAGCAATCTTCCTCGGCCGTGCCGTCCTGCCTTGGAGCCAGCTGACCGTGGATTAAAACGTGAGCCAAAATAAACCTCTCCTCCTTTAAACTGTGGGTGTCTGGTATTATATCTCAGCCGTGAAAAAGTGACTCAGACATTATCTTTCCTCACTCTTCTCAGAGTGTCTCGGAGCACAGCTTTCAAAGACTGTGTCCTGGTAAGAAATGAAACTCAAAAACAATGCAATTTATTTATTTACTAAAACTGAGAATCGTGTCTTCCCTTGAAGAGTCTGTTCACTCCTACAGTTTTGCTGTCACCAACAAGTCCCAGAGCAGCAGTGCCAGCCTCCTCTTCCCAAGATGCAAACTCGTGTTTCAGATGCCATTGGCACAGCCCTGGCTCAACTCATAAAGCCCGGAGTGCTTTACTGCTCCCCTCTGCTCCTGCTCTGATGGCCCGTCCAGCCCAGTCATTGCTTCAGCCAGTATTTATGAGGCTGTACTTTGTGCAGAGCCTGGGACAGGTGCCCAGCTCTGTAGGTCAGAAACTTTGAAATAACTTGCTTCTGCAAGGGGCCACGAACCTGGAGTGATCTGTGGCTCTAATTGGTGTCTCTCAGGCTATCCCGGGAGGCAGGCTAGCGGGAGGCTGACAGCACTCTTCAGAGCAGCCACCTTGGTTCAGATCGTGCTTTTTGTCCCATTTTGGTGTGTGTGATGGCCATTAGAAGGTTATTTAAACCCTCTTAGCTATTTGCTTCCTGTA